TGAAGGCACATTTCTCAAAGTCCCCTGCATTTTTGTAATGACGTCCAAGGCAGTAACGGAAAACACATCTAAGCGGTGTTCGACGAAGCATGCAAGTTGAGTGAGATTTGCCTTGATGGCTGCTGCTGGTGGGATAATTGGATCCTCGCTGTCGTCTGCTTCAACGATGTCAACGATGGCGTCGATGGTCAGCTCTTCCTCACATGGGATGTCGTCATCGGCGGTCAAAAAGCCTTCGCTCGATGCCGTGTCGCCGTACATGGTGTTGAAAGTGGCATTAATTGCGTTGATGGCTTCGAGGTCGGTGATGACGGGTTCAGCTGTAGCAGTTGCATCTGGGAGAATACGGGTGTGGCGCCAACAGTTAATGATGGTGTCTTGCTTCACCTCATTCCAAGCAGCCCTGATAATAAGCAGAGCTCGCTTCACGTCTAGGGGTTGTGGTTCTTCTGCTTCAACATTGTCAAGGTGTAACTTCATTTGATGTTTCTTATAATAAAGCTTGAAATTCTTTATTATCCCGGCATCTAGTGGCTGAATGTGCGCTGTTGTGTTTGGTGGCAAAAAGTGACATTTCACATTAGTTGTGAAACGGATGCTGATTCACCATGGACTTTATGCATCTTAATTCCATGTCTCAGCTTGAAGCGATGGAGCCAACCAGTGCTGTATGAAAAATCTTCAACACCTAATTTGTCACCTAACACCTTCGCTTGAGTTTTAAGAAGTTCGTCATTTAACATGATGTTTCTCTTTCTCACGTCTGAAAACAGTGCATTTTCTAATTCTTCTTGGTGTGGCTTTCGACTTCGGGATGTGCTGGTGTCCGATGAAGAAACTGCTGTCCATTTCGATGATTCCTTCAAAATGTCGGAAATTGTTGATCTGCCGATCTTCACCCAGAATTTTTCAAGTACAAATGTGATGATTTCATTCTGAGTGATGTTTGGTTTACTCTGCTTAAACTGACAGATCTTCTTGATCTGGGGGGTGATTTCTACTCGTGCACGCTTTCAAGGAGGTGTACTGCAGACAGACATTTTGACGAATGTTACAAGGTACTTACTTACTTACTTTGGAGATTTAACGTGCGCTTTCCGACTGATGCGTATTTCGCACACGGGCCCGGCCAGGCCATTTAATGTGTTTCCGAAAGGGGCGAAAGTGGTCTATGCAACCCAAGAGGGGGCTTTAGGGGTTGCTTATATAGAATTTGGGAATTTTGAGATTTGGAATAGATGCCGATGGGGTTGGGGAGGAGAACTAAGGGAGCTAGGTATCTTGGATGTTTGTTTGTTTATGTGATTTTGATTTGGTAGATTATTGTGTTTTTAGATGCGTTTTATGAGTTCCGTTTGGATTTAGAATACGCCTAGGGCCTTGAAGTTTTCTAGTTTATTTTGTGGGTTTAGTATTGCTTCTAGAGTGAGAGCCTTGTTTAGATTGAGGGTGGTTTGTAATGCGGTTCATTGTGTTAGGTAGTGTGTGCAGTGGATGAGTGCGTGTTCTGGGGTTTCTAGTTGTTTGCAGTGTGGGTAGTTACCTGTAGTGTGTTTTTTAGGTGGTTATTTAGGTCGGTGTGTCCTGTTTGGAGTTTAGTGATTACTCTGTCGATTTTTTTTGATGGATGGAGAATTTTTGGTTTGGTTAGTGGTTTGCTGAGTACTTTTTTGATTTGGCTATTCGAGTTTAGATATAGGTTATGCCATTTTTTGGTGAGTTTTTGCTGTTGCAAGGTGAGTCGACCATGTTTTATATACCTGTTCGTATTTTAAACTGGCTTCATGCACATTTATCTGGCTTCAATTTGTAAACTACATTTGTATAGCTTTGTACATACAGGTTTGAATAGCTTTTCCTGTTAATTGTTAAGTTAATCTCTGCAGCCAGTGCGTGTCAAAACACGGGGTTGTGTACTCGCGGGCAGATGACCACGGAGTACGTTGACCACTGTGTCGGATTAACGAGACTGATTAATGAGTGATTTCGGTAATTCGTTGCAAATTAGGTGTGTCGGAATGCGAGAATGTCGGATTAACGGGACTAAATAGCACTGATCAATCGGTTCCCATCATTTGTGTCGGATAAAGCCGAGTGTCGGATTAACGAGTGTATATTACTTGCGCACGTGTTTGAGAATTTCAAATTCACACACGTGTATCAAAGGACCCGTAAATCTGTATTTACAAAAGTGGCCAAATAGTAGGGTTTTACGTACGTGCGTACATTTGTCAATTTGGTGAATTTAAATTATTTCAGGAGGAAGAACAAATATATGTTCAGAAGTATGCATCTTTCGTCATGCAAGCGCATGGCATTTGTATACTGAACCGCAAAAGAAACGTCACCTTGGATAGATATATACTCAACAACAAAAGTTCCTGTGGCACCAATATTTTAGTGTATTTTTCAAACAAGTAAAGTATGGTTTTCAATATTTGCATGTACATGTTCATGCACGGCGTTTCAGTTGGACGTTTGCGTGTTTTTTCGGACATGTTACTCACACGTGTGATTTTTCAGTGTGAACAGCACACTGGTTGTTTATCTCTCAGGTGATCATAAATGTTTACGCAATGCCACGTCTGATGAAAATCAACATCCTTTGGCCGCTGGAGTAGTGCATACGTGACATGATAGTGGTTTAAGGTTAGTTAACTGTTACAAAACGTACACTAATTTTGAGTGTTGAGTGTTTGTTGTTTAACGCCGCACTCATCAATATTCCAGCTTAAGACGGCGGTCTGTAAATAATCCGAGTCTGGACCAGACAATCCAGTGATTGATATCATTAGCATCGATCCACGCGATTGGGATCGATGACATGCATCAACCAAGTCAGCGAGCCTGACCACCCGATCCCGTTAGTCGCCTTTTGCGGCAAGCATGGGTTGCTGAAGACCTATTCTACCCCAGATCTTCACGGGTCTCACTCATTTTGAAGTGACTGGTATGAATTGTCATCAGACACGTGTTTCCTGATCTGTACTCTTCATGCCTGCCTCACTGGCATAGACAAGACAAGCGCCTATTAAATATTGAAGGGGTATGTTTCTCCCTTTGGTGAGCAATGTTTCCATGCTGATAGCCAGAAATAAAATAACTCAAAACTTCTTACTTGTTGACACATATCATCAAAAAGATTGTATATACGCGCAGGGCAAAATAAACAAGCCTAAAGAGCACCTATTATTACATGTGTGTGGAAAGTACCCATTTGATTGTGTGTAGGAGATGTTCTCATGTGTGTATCAGAAGTACCAATTTGTATGTGTGTGTGTGTGTGTGTGAGAGAGAGAGAGAGAGAGACAGAGAGAGAGAGAGAGAGAGAGAGTTGATCATTAAGTTTCACAACTATGTACTAGTATACTACTCAAAAGAGGTTAAGGATCACCTGATTCTCTCATATTGGTAAAGTTAATCTGTCATGGCATGAGAGATTAACTATTGTAATATGAAAGAATCAGGTGATCCTTAACTTCTTTTGAGTAGTATAAAATATATAAAAAATGTCCATAAGCTACATAACAGCACAGTTCAAATTTCAGGGCTTACCTGAAATGATGGTCATAATGTGAAAGGCGTCCATCTTTAAAATTATGCACCATGTGCTGGCCCTATAGCCAAATTTATTCACCTTTTTTAGAAATGTGAATGTGTCATATTTCATTATTGTATATCAAAGATAAAACAGACAGTTATTCCACAACTCAGATACATGTTTGAAACTTTTTTCAACCAATTTTACCTCAAATTTAACCATTTAACTATTGTTTGGCACTTTTCAACATATTTACTAAAATAAGAGTAGTAATTGAGCTTGGTAGTATTAATTGTGTCAGTTCTTCTTGATAAGAGCTAAAGTAGCTCATTCCATGGACACTGCCAAGAAGCAGGATCAAACCCCAGACCTTCTGCTCTCCGGTGGACGCTCTATCAGTAGACCATGGAGGCTTTCGCATCAGCTGTAAGGGGGGCATGGATATGAATCCTGTTTTAAGAAAATGAATCTGCAAGCTGAAGAAATGGGCCCAAAAGACATTTTGAAAAGTTTCTCAAATCCTTATTGTTATTTTCTTAATGAAGTTTCAGTTTTGTAAAGAGAGTTTGTAAAGTTTTTGAAGCTATGAAACAATTGAGACATTTTGAAAATGGCTTCTATTGATATAAATGTGAACAGATTTCTGAGTTCCTCAAATCCTAATTGTTATAATTTTCTAAACAAAGAGAGAAGTTTTGGAAGAGGTGGAAACTTATGATGGATGTAAGACAAGCGTGACATAAGTTCATATGCTACGTTGCTTGGTTCACAGAAGTGAAACATACTTTCTCAAAAGAACATCATTGTTTTATTGAAAAGATGTATATGTAAGCTTGCAAAAATGCCTATTAATAAAAAGTATTATGACAATATTATTTTTTATTATCCAAAACTGGCTCCCACAGGAGATATGCTGCAATGAAATTGCATCACAATGCTTTGCAGACCATTGTGACGTCACTGGTTATCATGATGTCACAATCAAATGGCTCTGCAACTGAAGCTGTTAGCAGTACTATTTACACTGAAGACACTGCTAATTGATGTCTACAAACTGCAAATGTTGGAAGAATGATGTTGGATGATAAATAAAATCTCACCCTCGTGTCTTTTGATATGAAATATATCAACACGAGTTGATAAAAGTGGCAAAAATCCTGGGCAAGCCTCGGAATTTTTCCACTTTTAACAACTCGTGTTGATATATTTGATATCAAAAGACATGAGGGTGAGATTCTCTATATCCCCATATTGTATGACTTGCAAACTACTGGTATCTTTCCAACATTAGATCTACAAGTGACATTAAAGTGAGTATGGTTTTGCATCACTTTTAGCCATTTTCACTCAATATCACGGCTTCTCACAATGTACAATTGTAGGGAATTGAACCTAGGCCTCTGGCATGATGAGTGAAACCCCACTGCCCCGTCACATAAAGGGAAGACAAGAATATGCAAACATAAATAACAGATGTTTTAATACAATGGACAAAAAGAACAGTTTCCAAATTGCTGACATGACGGTCATGGTGTTCATGTCAAAAGTTGGATAAGAGTCCTGTGAGCAACAGATTGGTTCAATCATGTAATACACTGACCAATGGACAATCCAACACACCATAACCCCAGTTTTAATTCAGGTCAGCAGTCCATAGTTTGAGTTCCAATATGATAAGACATTGGGGGTCTTATCTGATAAATCTCCACATGGTCATGAGTGCTGGAGTTAAGTTTTACACAGCTTTGAACATTATATCAGTATGTGTGTTGACTGCCGTTTCAAAAGAAGATTACCACTTGGGTATGGTTCTGACAACATAATCATGAACATTGGACACACTTAGATCACCACCATCTGATAATTCCATAAATTTGCATGTCACACAGAGATAATTACTGTGGCAACTGGCAGGCAGAATCAGACAGCTAACAGGTTTTTCTCAAAATAATCACCTGTCTCAGTCTGTTTCATCATTTGAACAATTCCCTTTTAGTACTATACATAATCAGTAAAATCTTCAACAAAGGACCGTCCTCTAAAGGTCTTCTGTTCACTGTCCTCCGCTAGGACTTCATCGTGGTCCCCTCTTTCCTCCTGTCTAGCTTTTAGTCGTATTCGCTTAATTTGCCTGAGCCTCTCTAACCAGTTAGAGGCAAAGGGATCTTGTGGTTGGGATTGCTGTCGCTGCAGTACCATTGATGCAAGCTGCAAAACACAAATGATTTATCAACTGAACATCAGAAAAACTAATAACTTAGACCACATAAAAAATACAAAGAACTTTCACTTTGATTTTACATCAAAGTAAAGATGCAAGATTAATCCTCCAATCTGATTCTCCCATGTTGACAACCGAGAAAGCTGTTCTAATTCACCAACCTAAAATTCACAAATGTGAGTAACAAAAACATTCTTCCTCATGGCAAAACAACTGTTGAGAAAACCCCCCAAATAATTTGAAATATCTTAATGATTATTTTTTTTCTTTCTAAAAACACGAAATAAAAACTATCTTGTCTTATTCCAGAAAAGAAAAGAGTCAAGGCAGATAAAACAGGAAACAGAGACACTCTTTGGTGTTAGCAAAGATACAGAGTGAAGCATCATGGATTAAGTCCATTGTCTTGAGTGGCTTATCGATCTTGATGAAGGAAACACAGGTAAAAGCCTTCATGTTGTGTACACAAAAATTAGAACATTTTCTCAAAGTAAACGAAAAAATGATTTTTATGTTTCTTTCATGTTGTATGGGTATCAAACATCCATTCAAATTCCTGGAAGCATCATCTTCCTGAAGTAAGGGAGTTAACAGTAGGGCTGCAATGAATACACTGAGGTGCATACGATTCATATCACGAATATAGGGTAACGAATACGAATATTAATTCACAATTACAATAACAAGTCAGCAGTTTATGTATTATTTATTATATTCAGTGAAACAATAACATCATAATTTATTTGACATGGTTTGTTAATTATTAATATATTATACATTTATATACTGCACTTATCCAGGTACTAGTATCTTCTCAAATGCGACAATAACCAGTGAAAACAATACTATCAAATTAAATATTATTAGAGTGTTGTCATTGAAAGAAATCTATGCATATAATATGTTGTTATAGATATTTTTAGGTACAGGGTATGTAAATATACATGATAGCATATTCATAAATATTCGATTCTAGTGGCCATGAATAACGAATTCAATTCATGAATGGTTACGGTTCGATTCACCGAATACGCGAGTGAATCGTAACAGCCCTAGTTAACAGACTGGAAAAGTCCAGTTTCCACCCTTGTTGAACTGTACTGGAATTCCGGAGTTACCTTCTGGCTGGGCTAATGAGTCTATGCATAGTCCAATCAAAATCGCGCAACAAACTTGACATCTGGTTCGTCAACATGGATTTCAATGTGCAGATTTCCTTCAACAGCAGGATTTGCAAAGTATGTCAACTGGGCGTTGACAGATATTTTCTAAATCTCTTCATGTTTTTTATCAAGGTGCACTTTGTTTTATTACAACATACATCTTGATTATCGTCTTTACTGGCAGCCCATTTTGTTTTTGTTTGAAATCTGATTGGTCAATAGGAGGGACACAGAAGGGACATAACTTGTAATAGCCACAGGTGGATATAAAAAACAACAACACTCGAACGTCTCTGTAAAACGTGTAATGTCTTCAAAGATAGAGAATCACTTCTACAAATAATCCTCAATCATGATGAAGAATTTGGTGCACTCTGTAAAAACGAACAATTCTTAATAATTTTCAACAACAGTTATCCAGAATGAATTTCCAAGATATGTTATCGTATCTACAATGATAAATAAATTCCTTGTATGTACAACATTATCATAGTTTTGCTGAATTCTCATATTGTTTCCGTATCATTATAATACACTTGTTCAAAATGAAATTGTTATAATGTACCTCCTTTATTTGTTGAATGAACCTGTATGTTTTGTACTTACTGTGCATATATTTTGCAGTTGTTTCTTCATGGAATGTTACGCAATAAATATCTTATTTAAAAAGTCTTTGTTTTATGATAATTTGATACAGTTGGGTATGGCGCATGGTTGACCCAGTCGCCTAAGGCACTGCAATTCACTATGCAGAGTTGTGTCCCTTGGGCACGCCAGGAACCTATGACAGTGTTAGAGCTGGGCAACTCGGGTAAATCACGGGTCCGGGTAGTCCTGTGGGTACCCGGGTCCTTCTCAGTACCCACCCGACCCGGGTACCCACAGGACTATCCGGACCCGTGATTAGTCACGTCATATATTGTCTAATGACTAAATTATCTGGTACTATATGGTTACACGACAAGTCACTAATGTTTGCATTTCTTTCTGACTATGCACCCATTCATTCTGATTTTAGTAAATTTGGACTTGTCCCAGCCCTAGACAGTGTATTCGAATCCTGTTTGTCCTGATTATGTTTCAAGGTTTGTCAGCACCATACCCGTGCTTGTGTGTTTCACCAAAGTTGTAAACGTCTAAGACCTTCATCACTTCAGGCTTTCCTCCCATATCAAGCTGACATGCCATGATATAACTGGAATACTATTTACTATTCACTATTCACTCATTACTCTTGTGTACGGTCCTGTACATCATTGCAAGGTCAATGCGTGATAAAGCAATATATTATAGCTAAAGGAAACAATGGCTCAATGAGCAATAGATTATTCTTACAAAATATAGACCAGGTAACTTATGCGAAAGGAGATATACTTCCAATAAATATTTCAAGCATTTTTAAAAACAAAATGAACAAATTGCATGGATTATCTACATTATGAAACATGACTAAGTCACAGAATGTGACAGGCGATTGGTTAAAACATGCCCAGATTAAGTTACTCTCATTTCATTTTACAGATTCCAAGTTTAGAGAAACCAAAATAACACTCTCCTTCAGTCAAAAACAAAGGGGAAGAATGATATTATCAGCATTTGTATAATGCTTGCTAGTCGGTTCTTCAAGTTTGAGAGGAGGTGAGAGGTGGGCATTTGGCGGTGCCTAGTCTGGATAATATGTTTTTTCAGCAGGTTGTCCTCATCAGTCTTGTTTTGAAGTCCCGAATCTTGAAACAACCTCAACAATATTCTCTACCTGTTTGATGATACCTTGTACAGAAGGACCTGGAGTAACAGCCCTGTGGTCTGAGAGATTTCCATGCTAGCCATGTACACCAAACAACATATTACATGTAAACTGCATTGCTGTCAGATAAATGCAGCTTCACTAACATGGACTGAAATTCAGAAAGAGGTGATATTCTTTGCAGGTTTGAGATAGATCATTGGTGGGATCTATACAAAACCAGTCTTAGCCAGGTCAGCAAATAGGAGGTTAACTTCAGCTGCAAACACAAACAAATCTCTTTTCCTGGCCAATCATCAAATTGGTAAAGAACATAGATGCTGGCGAGTTGACCTGTATTAGTAAGTTTGATGTGATGTCACTTACCATGCTGCATGCAACTGAATGTATGCACTCAGAGTTCCTGAGAATGCTGATGGGTACAATTAGATAAATCAAACTGTCGAATTTTGAAACAGATAAATTCAAATCATAAAAATTTGTTTCATGTGTCATGAGCTAATTTACAAGATTTTATTTTGCAAGCTCCGGCAAGCGTGATCTCCCAACTACCAGGTGTCGTTACCAGCCTATTCAAATTCTTGCTAGAACTTACTATTCTCCATTACCGGCTTTTTGTCATCAGTCGTGTTGCCACGTTTGTTCAAGACTGTTGTGGGATGTTATAGTTTTTTTTATTGGTGTGCTTTTGTTTTTTTGTGTGATTTGCAAGCATCAGACTTTCTAAAAATTACTACCCCGTCACTTGTGCCATGCCATAATGATACTGATTGTATGCAACATGTGAGAGAAGTACACGATTCAACCCCAACCTGCCATGAATAAGAAGGATTCAGTGCATTGACATCATGCTATATCCAATTCCGAATCTGAGGTCAAAGATGACGAATGCCATACAGATGATGAAACCAGTAATTGCTCTCAGTTGAGAAGCATGTTGATAACGTGTGGTCCACTTAGGGGTGAAATGCAAGTACCTGTCATTTTCATCCTACTTATTCTTCTAAAGGTACCAAATGTGTTTTGTCTCAGGATATGTATGATTACTGAATACCTTATGCTGGATATTATTTTGAAATAACGTCTCTGAGGGACGAACCATGAGATGATAGTATTGAATCTGTAATGGATCTTGATCTTGAGTGTATAGCCAGGGTCAACAAAGTGGCTGCGGCCCATCCACTCTTGCCCTGTGATGGTCATTGGCCCACTTGGACTTTATATAGCTTATAAGAAGAACCATGTGCTGGCCAAAATAGTGAGATTAAATTTCAATCTGTGGCAGTGAATTTTAATAAATGTCTTGCCGTTTTGTCGAAATTGACCAAATATATGAAAAAGAGCAAGGCTCTTATGAAAAGCATACCAACGTCTTTCAGTGATCCTATCATGACAGAAATGGGAAAACATAGACTAGAAGCCAAAGTTGTGGTGGATGCTGTTCAGCCCAAAAAGAAGAAGCCTAAGTTTGGATTAATATTTCACAGCAGCAACAGCCTACCAGTCAGGTCAGGCCTGAAGAGTCCTTTTGAACCTGGTTTCGGGTGCAGTGCTTTCGCTGCGATCAGAGGAGGCTTATCATATACCATGGTGACATTTGGTTAGTGATCTCACTCAAGAGGGGACATAATGTGCAGGGACAACTTGCTATTACTGCCCCAGAACCTAGACTTGATAGTGAACTGGGGAAAGTCCCATCTCGAATCAAAAACAGAGGATAGATTTCCTGGACTTTGTTATCATAGCTTCTCAAGAGATGATGTTTTGTCATCTGGAGGAGAAAATTACATCAACTCTGCTAGCTCCAAGGAAGACTGTTGTCCTTGGTTCAGGCTATTATGTCAGGTTCTTACAGAAGAACCAAGTTCATGTGCTTATCAAGGGAAAGTGTGATGAGACCATTTTGACTCCTGATCAGAGATATCCTGGTACATCAACAAATGGAGCTCTTCAATGATAGGGCAATAATTAAGTTGATTATAATCAATTCTAGGCTTGCCAGGATTGAATGCTCCCAACCTAGGTTGGGGGGCAGTCTGTTAGGGTCAGGCCACATAGGAACGTTCCCTTCAGAATA